CTGTATTTCAACCACACTGACAGACGTAAAAAAAACTATAAGAGTTAAAAATTAAACTGATTTTTGATCATACGGACTAGAAAAACATTTGGTCACGTTTTAGAGGTTTTAAAGTTTTTGAAAGCGATTGCATTCAGATAAACGAAACGTGAGAATCTGGGCCTTGTATTCAATTTTCCATACTATTATAATCGGGTCAATGTATTGTGATGGAAAATTAATTCCACTACACTTGGTAGCAACAAACAACGAATAATTACATAAGACCTCAGTTTTTAGTAGTTTTTCAGATGAACGTAATTCAGACTAAATGGGGCTTCAGGATCTTTCACAACGCCACCGCAAAATGCGTAAATTAACATGTAGGGATAGTAGCGCTGATGTGATGTGTTTACAATTCGACATAATTATAACATTTGAGATGACGCACTGCGCGTGATAAAATTCTTAGAATTAGAATAAAAACAAAACCGATAACAACGCTTTTTTGCATAGTATTGTGTGGCAGTATAACAAAATAACTTGCCCCATATTCAGCCACAAATTTCCAGTTAAAATATTTTTCATTTTAGCAGAAATGCCCAGTCAGAGTGTCCGACCAGGCTAAACTTTTACCTGTCAAAACCTCAAATTTACCGGACAATTGTCCGATGACCAACTACTATTTGCAGGCTTGAACATGTAATTACTCAAACATGTATCATATTATTTTATAGTTTTTCAATGTACATGAGTTGCTTACCAATGCATCCATTTTTCACATGGTCCTTCATATCAAGGACATCAGGAAACTGAATGAATGAGTTCAGTTTCTTCTTGTAGCCTGTTTTCCTGTTAAAAAAATAATAAAGAACATTTTTGGTTTATACATCCTCAGAGAAAAATTCTGTTCTTTTATTTTTATTTTTTTCATCCAATCAACAGTAAAACCAAAACATATGCCCACTTCATATTTATGCTTGATTGGTTAATTAATATTCTGTGTGTTACTTACTTGCACTTGATATGATTTAAAATTTTAAAAAGTCATTATGCTAAGAAAACACAGTACTCTGATATTCCCACCTGTCAAACACAAATCGTAATAGTTGAAGATTGAGAACTGGAGGCAGGGAGTGCAATTCAATGTAGCGAGCAGCATTCTGTTTGCTGTTACAGTGGGTACAGTAATACTGATTATCACCATCTAACTTCTCTTCCTGTAAGACAAAATGAGAATTAATAAAAATTAGTATTTATTACCAATCACATGCTTCAAGACAAATACAACTTGAAACAAATATAAAACATAGCAGGTTACAATTTGAAATATTATACCTAACCTTTAGAAACTCTTTGATGCACTGGTTGAGTGACGAGTGTCCTTGAATGTTCAAATCCAGTTCGTAAAAGCGAGATAGCCTCTTTGATTTGTTCCCACAGCTGTGACATCTAAAAAGAAAAGAATTTCAGAAGATGTACAGCAAAACAAACATTTCACAATATTGATTCAAAGAAAAATTCAAATTGCAGGATGAGTTATTTTCAAGAAGTCTTCTTTTGAGTTTTCATTAATAACTCAAGGCAGCCCTGAAAAAGAGCAAGGAAAATTTTATCTGCATGGAAAACCCATGTTTTACCAGCTGGCCTGATTAACAGCTCTGTAATAGACTCAATTAGTTACAGCTGAATTAAATAAACTTGGGGAAAAAAAAGAAAAGATTTTTATCAAATGAGAACATGTACACTCCCGGCTTACTCTGTGACGTAAAAGTATTCTCCACCAAACTGAGTCTGAACAACATTCTGCACCTCAGGCTCAGCCTATAAAAATAGAAGTGAACAAATTATAAGGACCCTTGATCTTACCTGAATTAAGTTTGTTGTGCATTATGCTCAAATTTAACTCAGTATTCATATACATGTTTAGAACTAACCTGTTTTGAGAAAGTTTCTTCAAGTAAAGATGTAAAAAGTTTGCTAAACTCCTGTGCATCCTAAATCAGGAAACATCCGATTGAAAACAACAAGACAATCAAAAAGCATAGCAACCAATTATCAGATTAATAGACCTTGTAGATTTTGTGGATGCAAAAACAACAAAAATATTTTCCACATACAAGCTTTGGACCAAAACAAAAACAAAATTGTGAATAAGAACCTTTAAGCTTCAATATTTCAAGTCAAGTAATCTTGATTTAAGTAAATGTTGTAGAAATCACCATGTACCTGCTGCTGTGCAGTATCCAGTCCTAAACTGTCCACAAATGGACTGGGATCAATGTATCTAAAGAAAGTGAAATGTACTGTTTACACGACTGAAGCAGATATTAAGTCTTTCCTGAGCCCGATGGTTCAACAGGTCTGTGTTTAATAAATTATTCTGATGTCTGTTGCACAAAGACACCATGAGACAGTATTGCTACAGGCTGTTGAAGGGAAGTTGGTCTACAGTAGTTTTGTCAGGGTTATCTTTTTGCCAGCTCAATATGCAGTTATAGAGCTCACTTCCCAGTGGAGGGAGGACTCCCATTAAACAAGGACGGGGATGTTCCTCGGAAATTTTGAAAAGAACCCCAAAGTCCTGTTATGTGGGCATGGCTTGAAATTTTTTACACCCCTAAGCAGTACCAATTCTTAAAAAACACATTACCTGACATTGACTTAATTTTTTTGGCTCAATACCCTGAACACCCTATGAGGTACCAAAATCAATTTTTTTTAACCGCCAAAACGTATGATGAGCCCCCCTGCGCTTCTTGCATGTATATAGGAGTCTCTACCCCACTCCTTCATGGCACACTTGGTAAAATAGAGAAACGTGGGACTGTGGGAATTTGTTGATATGCTGAAAATCTGTTCAGTTGCCAAACTAACACTATGCATTTGGTAAAACTACTAGCAATTTATTTGAGTTGTCCTTTGATATGACAAGCCATATTCAAGTTGCCAAATAGTCAGGATTTAGTAAAACACACATGGACATTTTTATTTGAACAAGACTATACAGCCCTGTTGCATACATGTACATACCTTCGAAAACTGTATTGTAACTGAGCAAACAGCAACTGAAGATGACCGCAGACTGTCGTTGGTGCTTCCTCTGAGCTCAGCACGGTGGTAGAAGGAAGTAATGGGACCAGTTGGTTGCTTGATGCTTGATCGGGTGTTACAGCAACAGAGAAAGGCTCATCCAGTGCTTTGCTATCCTCACTTTTGTGGTTGCTCAGCTTAAGAGAGTCTTTTGTGTTTGTAACACTCTGTGATGTTGGCAAACCATTCACAGCTAAAGATTTAAAGGAACAAAAGAGAAGATGGATTTTAGAATAATTTTTAATATTAATTAAAACAAACTTTGAGAACCTTCGGTTAATGAGTTAAACATATCACAATGTAGCATCAACATCTAACTTCATGAGCTCATTGAGGTTATTTGCATTGCACCTAAAAGCTGAATGGTAAAGTCACCAGGGAGTACTTACATCTGTTATCTTCTTGTTTTGATTTACATCCAGGAATCGTAGGAGAGATATATTTGTACATAGCTGAGCGAAAAACAGGATTATGAAACCAGACCTACAAGAAGAAACAAAAGTGATTTGTGACATGTAGAAAAAGACTCATGTGTATGTTGTGTCTTATTTGTGTTTGTAACACCTCCATGTGGGCTTACAACATTTAATAACAAGAGATTTTGCTGAAAGACATTTGGTACTTCAACATGCTTCTCTTTAAATTAGCTTACCTGTAGAAATGTGTTCACATAGCATGTGGCACCAAGGTTCTTGAGACCAACAAAAGCATTCTAACAAGGGGAAAACAATCCAGATGTTCAAATCTGATATAAGATAGTACTGTACATAATCTATCAGTGAAGACAAGGCTTGAAAAAAACTTGAATTCCAGCTAACCCTTGGGACAAGTAACTCTCAAATTTTGCTTGCCCTGGGCAAGTCTTAGTTTGCTCTTTTAACAATTTAGTTGGCAGATAACTCGCCTGATCCCTTGTCCATCAGGCAGTAAGAATGGCAAGTTACTTGCACAGAAGGAAAATCTACTTGTCCCTTTCCGTGCTTTTTTGGAAATATATGCTATGCAGGCTACCCCCTCCCAGGACCATGTATTAACATGAAGAACGCAAGGTAGATACTTAAATTGCTTATAAATGTGTTACCTCAGGTCTTCTTTCATTTTCTGGATCTTCACAATTCAACCAGTAGTCATCTGGGAATGGAATAATTACATATATATTGTTTTGCGCATCTTACAACTTGAAGTTTATCAATGCTGGTGATTAATTATTTTATTAATTAAAACAGGACCAAGTTACTGGTAGCCATGAATAGATGAATTTCTGCAAACTAATAAGCTTGAAACTGAAAATGACTGAAAAAGGAAACCACAAAACAAACCATTATTGATCCAATCTATATCTCAAATTCTAAAATTTTCATTTTTCATTTTTATTTTTTCGCTTTTGTGATAATTGCACAGCACAAAAACTTTCTTAGTTATAATCAGCCAAACCCTTGTGAGCTGCATTTAAAAATTCATGCAACAACCCAAGTATGCAAGTTTGACAAGCATGCATCCCTTAAAGGTGGCAAGTCTCTCAAGATTTTTTGACACATTGTCTAGGCTAACTGGGCGTTAAATGGTAGATAGACTAACCAAGGCGCTATCAAGGCTGACTAAATAATTTGCTATTTGGTCTTGCACTGATAAAAGGTGCTTTTGCTTCTGAAACGGCCACCCTGATATAAATTAAATATAGGTGTCTGTCTGTCTTAAATGACCAGTGATTCATTGAGATATGAGTCGTCGACTCATTTAACTCTTTCATAAATTGGGGGTCACCTTAGCTTGATAATAATTTATGCTGCAGCTTATTAGCTAAGTACCTTTTATTTCACCAAGCCAAAACTTTTCTCCAAGGCAATTGAAACAGTTAGGATTGGCTTTACAATTCCTCCTGTGAAAAATTAGAATAACAATAAACAACTAGTATAAATTTTTCACGGGATGTACGTTATTATAGAAACCAGGAACTATCAATTTTAGCGTTACTGTAAGTCATTTCAATGGATCAATGACAGACGGAGCGATAAAAACACAGACAGTGTATCAAATATCACCTGCAATTTCCCTGAGAACAACCAGTCGTATTTACCCGGTAGGCGCTCTCGATATTTTCTCTTGTGATATTTTCGGGTTCCGTGTGATCAGCCCATTCCCAAGCTTGCTTTACTACATTTCCCTGCTGTTTCCGATTTGTTGTTCGACGCGCCATCTTGGATTTCTTCTTCCCGCGCCGTGCGCGCGCATTTTGGAGCGTAAAACCGGCGAGTCCGTGGGCTCAAACAGTCCCATGCCGCTCTCCCCGCTCTCCTCGCTCTCTCCCCGTTTCGGTCAGTTCAGGCAAATTTGTCAGAAAACACATTTGTGCACTACGCTATAAACCAACTACAGATCTGTGATAAATAAAC